CCCACCAGATGGTCGCTTTGCCTTTGACTGTCTTCTTTTGTCCTTGCTTTGGCGCAGGTCCTGCGGTTCCTGTTCCTGTGCCCGGAGCCGCAGTCCCGCTGGCCTGCAGTGGAGATGTCCATGCTTCTGTGTTCCTTTTTCCCAGCCCTGTTGTTCTGTCTGCCCCCCCCGCCGCAGGGCGCAGCCGGCGCTGCTTCTCATTCTCCTCCCTCAGCTCTGTGCGCCTCTGGCTGCCAGGCAGCGGGGCCTACACGCCTGAGCCCAGGCCAGGCCCTGCGCCCCTGAGTCAGCTCTCTCGTGGCGTGTGCCTGCTCACGGCCATGCCTGCAAAGTCCCACCTGCCGCGCAGGTTCACGCGCAGCTCACGGGAAGGCCTGGAGGAGCCGGGCTCCGTGCTCAGCACTCGGAAGCTTGCGGGTCAAGCGTCCACAGCCCCTGACCTCGCCGGAGGCCAGGCCGGCGAGCCCCTCTGTAGGACAGAGGTCGGAAGTCCCCCCTTTTATAGGCACCCACACCCCTGGATGTTAATGAGGTTGTATGTAGCATGAACACTTTGTAATATTGATCGATTAAATGTAAGACAACTCATCTGACTTTGTGCGGAAGCAGCTTTTGTCCGGCCGGAGGTTCCAGTGGCGAGAAGGGCGGACGTCAGCCACCAAATAGGAGATGGGCAAGGGGACGGCACTCACGAGTGAAGCGTATTCTGTTCACTTTGGAGATGGGGCTGGAAGTTTTTCCACGTAATTCAAATGTTCAAAACCCCAGGGTTCCTGGAGTTGAGAACCCCTGGAATAAGTCACTTCAGAGTCTTGGCCAAAAAGTCCTGGTGTTCAAGACCCCCTCTGCCCGGCCCCGCCCCTCCCCCTGCCGCCCAGCCAGCCGTCTCCTCCTGCGCTGGCTCCCACCAGGCTGTCCTGACATGGGCGCTCGCAATCCCGGCAGGAGTCTCTGTGCCTTGAAACGGTCCCCAGCCACCCAAGACCAACCACAGTCGCTTTCCCACTTCCCATGACCTGTAGTCACAGCCCAGCCCACCCTGTGCTCGGTCCCTCCTGCTTCCTTCTCAAGATCAGCTGCCCTGCCTCTGAGCAGGTAAGCAGCCCCCTGGGTATTACAAAGGGATGCCTCCTGCCTGGCCGGTGTGGCTCAGTTGGTTGAGCATCTGTCCCATGTACCAAGAGGTTTGATTCCTGGTCAGGGCACATGCCCAGGTTGTGGGCTCAACTCCCAGTGGGGTACGTGCAGGGGCAGCTGATTGATGTTTCTGTCTCTCTCTCTCTCTCCTGTCTTCCTGTGTCTTTAAAAGAAGAGAAAAAGTCAATTACAAAGGGAGTCCTCCCAGTAAATGGAGCCCATTCTGTGTGAAATACTGCCCCTCCCACATATGCCTGACTTCAGTCCATAGCTTCAGCCCAGAGGGGGAAATGATACCTGTAGGTTGTCAAGTATGTGGTAAGAGATTTGTAGGAGAAAAACCCCACTTCTCCTGTTTTATATTGTCTGTCCCAGTCTTCCTACCCAGCACTGGGCCCCACACATGACAGGTTTGTGCACCTATTGTTTTAACCCCATCGCCTGCACGGCGCTTGGCAGTATAAGAGTTTGGTTGGTTGGGGCTCTTACTAGACAGACCCCTTTCAGGGACAGAACATCAGGACGTCGGAGCAGGGGAAACCTCAGAGCTCAGCCAGGTGCCTCGTGTTAGGCGCAGGAAGAGGAGAGCTTTTGTTTGAGCCGCACCCCATAGTCACATGTTGCTGCGCCGATGGCCAGTGTGTGCATTGGAGGTGGGGCCTTCGGCAGGTGCTTAGGGTGAGATGAGGACGTGAGGGTGGGATTCCCATGATGGTATCGGTGCTCCTCAGTAGAGGAGGAGAGAGAAAGACCCTTGCACACAAACGCACCAAGGAAAGGCCGCATGAGGACCCAGAGAGAAGGTGGTTGTCTATACTCCGGGAGGCGGGCCCTCACCAAACACCCAATCTGCCAACACCTTGATCTCCAACTTCCCAGCCTCCAGAACCGTGAGAAATAAGTACCTGTTGTTTAAGCCACCCCGTCTGTTGTGTTCTGTCGCAGCAGCCTGAACTGACTAAGACAGTCCTGGTGACATTTCTTTTGTTTATGAAACCTTTGACCCCTGGGTGCTGCAGACAGAGCAGCAAACAAAGCAAAGGTCCTGCTCTTGTGCAACATTCATTGTGGGAAAAGATGAACAAGAACTTGGAATGTGCAAGATCCTTCAAAGGAAAACAGAACCGGGGAACCTGGTTGGGCAGGGTAGTCAAAGGGCCACTTAGGCTGGATAAAAAAATGGTTGGCTCACATTTTCTTTCTGGAGTAGCTCTTACTCCATTTACTCCACTATGTTTCAGCTTCAAAGTATCCTGTAACATTCTAATGCCATATAAGTTACCTGGCCATTTTACCTTATGCCAAAGGATTTCTATTCTGTTAGGTCTAATAGTTTTTAGTAGACTGTGCCTTGGAGTTGACTATTCTGGTCATGTGTCCCAGGAACGTTGTGTCCCCTTTAAATATACAGATTCAAGTCATTCTGTTTGTTTGTTTTCAGGAAAATTTTCTATAGTAGTTGCTTATATTCTTCTGCACTATCTTACTTTTAAGTATTTGGGGGGGGGGGTTGGCTTCCATTATGCATATCTTAGATCTTCTTTGCCTGTCTTCTATACCCATCACTTTCTCTCAAATCATTTTGCTATTTCCTAGTAGATCTGTGTGTTTTTTGCAGTGATTTCAGGGGGTTGGAAACAATGCCATTGACACCACCTTGCCCCGATCCTTCTTGTGTTTTGAAGTTACTTTGATAATGTCATTGTATTTTGCTTATAAAACAACCTTGTTTAGAGATATGCTAATTCTAAAAGATGTTTTTCCTATCTTTTTGCACCAGATGCGTTAACTTGAACTAGTCCAATGAATTCAGTGTCAGTGAGTAGATTCTCCTGGGGTTGGTGAGTGAACCTCCTAGTTACAAATTTAAGTGAGAACATTTTCCAAGGAATTGTGCCCACAAATCCTTCACTATAATGACCAGTCGTGGTCTTGAGGTGAAAAGCCAACAGCCCTTGAAACGACTACACTGAACGTTTCGGTTATATGGGAGAGCCCTTCGCGTTTCTCAGTAATCACACTGTTATAAACTCAACGTTGGATGCTGAAATCTAGGGAACTTACCTGGTGCTTTTCTGACATGATGGTGCCTCCCCTCAACACCGGTCTCATCAGCCCACTAACCAAGGACACAAGAAGCCATGTCTGCCCCACCTTTCTGTTTGGATTCTACTGAGTGTCTCATTTCTATTCATCCTCTAACCCTCAAGGGTCATGAATACCCACAGGAAACCTTCACCTTGGAAGAGACACAGCTGTAGCATATCTTGAAGAAGAAGAATAGACTGTGTCATAACTTGATAATCCCCCCTGGTTCATCGTGAAATCCCCTGTCCTGTGATCTGTACATCAGCTGGGGCACTCTATCCTTTTAGACAGGATATAATTTAGCTGGGCCGCCCCTCACCCACCTCCATATCACCCTTCACTGCCTCTCCAGGGATTTCAGGGGGGTCTCACAGTTCTCCACCTCCCCCCTCCCCTCAAAGCTCGGCATCTGCTGACTGAGTGTGGATCCTGGTTGATCTCCATGCATCTCATCCGTGTTCCATACACATCTCCCACCTCACACTGGGCGCCGCTCTGGTTTCTTCACCGCGGGCTGCAGGTGACAGACTCCGGGGCGTGGAGTCAAGTTTGAGGGTCGGGGAGGTTTGTGGGTTAACATGCGGACTGTGCCTTAAAGTGGGTATTAGACACTCATTTTGGAAAAGTCACAGCAGCATCCCTCCCCTTCCCGGGAAGCAGTCACCTCATCTTTCTGGGCCCCTCCCTCCCTGACCCCTCCCCCTTGGAAAAACTAATCCTGGAAAGACTAACATTTTTACTTTATTATGAAAAACAACTAGTTCTGTTTGACTCGGGGCTAGCTTTTCTGGATTCGATGTCACTTCAATGTCTCCCCTAGGAGGCAGAGCTGCTGTGACCAGATGTGGGGTCTCTGTCTTCTCTCTTTCTGTCTCCTTCCTAGTGCACCTACTCAGAGTGTTGGAGTTGAGAGGAAGGAAGAAGCGGGGAGAGTTGGTATAAATGGACCCCACGGAAGAACTCTTACCACAGTCAGGCCCGAGGCAGGTGCTCCAGGGGTGAGCAAAGGCCAGGAGAAGGGCTGAGTCGCCCAGGACTGAGAATAAGCTACTTGGCTAAGAAGGTGCCCTGCTAAGAATCTACCCTCCAAGAGTTATTATATAATAGTGCAGTGGTTCTCAACCTTCCTCATGCCGCCACCCTATAATACAGTTCCTCATGTTGCGGTGACCCCCAACCATAAAATTATTTTCGTTGCTACTTCATCACTGTAATGTTGCTACTGTTATGAATCGTCATGTAAATATCTGATATGCAGGATGGTCTTAGGCGACCCCTGTGAAAGGGTCGTTTGACCGCCAAAGGGGTCGCGACCCACAGGTTGAGAACCGCTGTAATAGTGTCTCCTTTACACGTAAGAACACGGGGCTTGGAGAGATTCTGTACTTCGCCCACAGTTAGCGTAGCTGGCAAGCAGCAGGCCAGGGTTAGAGCCGGCAGCGTGGCCGGCGCCGTCACCGCGCTATTGCTGGGCAGACTTGGAGAACAAACACGCTTGGATGAGTCCCCGTGGACTTTTCACTCCGACCCACAGTGTTTCACGTCTCAGAGCCTCCGTTTCCTCCCCTGTAATAAGGTAGGTACATCCAAACCTGTCTCGCAATGACCTTTGAATATTGACTCAGCTAACCGACGCAAAGTGCCCGGCACGCAGTAGATGCAACACACTTCAATATGCCTCCCTTATGATACTCCCTATATTTCATGGAAAGTATCATTAACTGCATTCTTTTATATATATACGTTTTTTATTATTTCAGAGAGGAAAGGAGAGGGACAATGTGATGGAAACATCAATGATGAGAGAGGATCATTGATCAGCTGCTTCCTGCACGGCCCACAGTGGGGATCAAGCCTGCAACCCGGGCATGTGCTCTGACTGGGAATTGAACCGTGACCTCCTG